CAAGCATAAAAAGCTATGTACTGTGTTGGACTGAGGTTTTTGTTATATTCATTATATTGAGGTTCAACTGTATGATGACTCCACAATTATAGGTTCTATTGTAAGACATATTTGCATTATGGCAATCATATGTAATGATTATGTCTAGGATGTTGTAAGGCCCTGCCACGGTGGTTTAGTGGCTAAGGTACTCGGCTGCTGACCCGCAGGTCGCGGGATCAAATCCCGGCTGTGGCGGCTGCATTTCCGATGGAGGCGGAAACGTTGTAAGCCCATGTGCTCAGATTTGGGTGCACACTAAAGATCCCCAGGAGGTCGAAATTTCCGGAGCCCTCTGCTACGGTGTCTCTCATAATCATATGGTGGTTCTGGGACGTTACACCCCACATATCAATTAGGATGTTGTAAGGTGTGTAAGTGATCACACACAGAATGATAACAAAAATAGGTTAGACCAGCTTAGTAGGGTAAACTTCCAGAATGCCAGATACATGCAGAATGCCAGATACAGGGGTGCAACATCTACGCCAGTTATTTGATACAATTTCTTACTTTTGTGCTATGCATGCATGAAAGGTATTGAAATTGCACAATGCTACACCAAAATGCAAACCAGCCTGAAAATTATTTCAGGGGCACTATCGCTAGTGAGAAAGGGGGGCTGCATTGACCAGCTGCAGTTTGGGTATTATCATAGTTCCATCCAGATGTGCAGGCCTTGACCCTGACTCCACCAAAAAGGGGGGGGGGGGTTAAGGTTTTCTGGCCTTGACCTATCAGTTGCGGAGATCAGCCATTTTAATTATTGTACCATGTTTACTCACGTAATGAACGCACTTTTTTTCTAGAAAAATCGGAGCAAAGTTCGGGGGTGCGTGTATTACGCGGGGTAAATTTTAAAAAGCGTTTTCGGGAGAAGGAAAAAATGTGGTAATGCAAAAGAAAGTTAGATCGCTTAGCCTTTCGCAATTTACATAGGCGCATTCTGTTTGGAAACAGCTTCTTTGATGCACTTTACTAATCTTCGGTGGTTGATGGCGCTATCTTCTGCAAGCTGTCCCTGGGCCCCCCTGGCATGCCATAAAAAGGTTTTGCAACTATCTTTTCTCCCAATCCTTTAATGGAAACAGTGGTATCTGCTTGTCATCTCAAGGGGCACCCAAAAGGGTGCACGGGGACACTGGGAATGATGGGACAGTTAGAGTGAAAAAAAAAAAAAGAAAGTAGACTAAAAAAGAAGGGGGGAGGGGGTGTTCTCAGGAAGGGATGGTCGGTTGGCACAGGCAGCTTGGTGACCTTCCTGTGCTTATCAGCTGGGATGTCTCTACACTAGCACCCACAGCTGGTGAAGGTGAACCCTGTTGTAGCCTGGTGAACCCCCTTGTATAGCACAGATAAGACGGGGCTGCTGATAGAAAAAAAAAAGCAATAGGCACGCAGCAACCAGCGAAGTGGGGGGGGGTGAACCGAGGTGGTTGAGGGGGGTTGGCAAAGTAATAAAAAAAAATGGAAGAGAGCCAACAGTTAGCAGGACTGCAGCAGATGAATGTAGGGGATGCGTTTATTACTCGGGGAAACGAAAAATCCAAATTTTGATGACTGAAGTTTGGGGTGCGTTTATTATGCGAGTGCGTTCATTACACGAGTAAATACGGTACACTGGTGTACTGTGAAAAAGCGAACAATGATTTAGAAGGGGCTGTTAGTACTACTAGCTGTCGCGGGACAAAGCATATTTTTGTTTCTTAATTACTTATGTATGCTCAGTATAATTACAAGTTATGATTGTTGACACCTAAAAAAATTACTTGCAATTGTTCAGAGCAGTGTATGACGTTTTCTTGGCATGAAAAGCAATGAAACAAGATTTTGCACCAGTTTTCTTTGCTTGCCACCCCTACTTGCTCTTGCTTTATGAATCTCCTGAATCTCAAAGTCGCCAGGTTGACAAGTCCTCATTTGCATTCGTGGCACCTGCCAAATGATCTGGCAAGTGTTACATATGCTAATGTGGACTTTTAACTGGTTGCACTATGGGGTGTTTCAACACACTGCTTTTATTGAAGTAACACTGCTCGCATGTACTGCACATGAGTTACCTCTTGTTAACTCTTTCATTACCACTCCTATTCAAATCGATCACCGGTGATCCATAATTTTAGATTGTTGATTTTGGCATGTCAAATTTGTTTCTCGTTCGCCCAGCGTTTTCTAGTAGGCAGTCCAGCCACTCAACTTTCAGAAATAGTTTGAATTAGCCCGTTTGGGCAATATAGCAATTTTTTACAGACCTTTGCACAAACCAATGTGCGTGTATTATTGGAAAAGTGAACTAGGCTGGCGAACTTGACAAAAGTGCGTGCCTCTCGTGGTTATACTACACAGTAACATCAAAGTTCTCTGATGGAAAGAACCTTTGCTCATGAAATATCGAGTTAAAGTGTCAGCTTCGCTGTTTGACTATCTTGAGCAGTAATAATTGCCAGAAATTTATGCCAGATATTCAATAGAGAGCTGTTCCTAGGAGTAAGAGAAAATTTGTTCTACAAAAATTATTTATGAAGGTCAGTTGTGTGTTCAAAGTGTCGAGGTGACCTTCTCTGACAGTTTCCAGCAGCTTGGTTTAGCTTGCATCATTATATCAGACACAGGGTCACATCTAGCGTCATTAGTCGCTCCTATGGCGTTGTCGTCACGTGCACATGGGAGTGCACCAGCACTGCAGAACACATGAGCTGTTCGAAATTGTTTTGCAACCCAATCTGTATTGAATAAGGACGGGCTTAGAGTTCTAGGATGACATCACCTCAGCTTTAAGTTTTATGGTGATGATGTTTTGTGTCAGCCTGAGACATCCATGGCCATTCATGGGCTTGTTTTGTTTACATCCTCAAGTTGTCTCCTCTGCCGCTAGTGCGTATAGCTTCTGACCTTTGTGCACAATCTTATAGCTACTCTGGTTACGTGCGTGGTCCACACTTTGCTGGGGCACGGTGTGCTGGCGCTGGCTGCAGAGCTTCTCCTAACAACAAGAAGGCCCCAGAGTACATCTTGGCCCCGACTACGAAGCAGTGCGAAACATTTTAGAACTGCACGTGATATTGTTCTTTATTTAATATTATATGCACAAAAATACAAAGAAATGTGCTTGGATATATTGAAACGCCTACCTATGCGGACACATTAAAGGACACCAATGTGGTTGAAATTTCCGTAGCCCTCCACTACTGCATCTCTCATAATCATATGGGGATTTTGGTATGTTAAACCCCACATATCAATCAATCAATCAATCAATCAACTTATGCAGAGTGAGGTGGCTCATCGAAAAAGGTTACGCTAGATAAAATAGCAAAGTTCATCGGACATCTCATTTATAGAGGAATGATTCACTTCATGGGCATCTATCTATGTTTGAACACCTTAATTGATTGATTGATATATGGGGTTTAATGTCCCAAAACCACCATATGATTATGAGAGACGCCGTAGTGGAGGGCTCCGGAAATTTTGACCACATGCACCAAAATCTGAGCACACAGGCCTACAACATTTCCACCTCCATCGGAAATGCAGCCGCCGCAGCTGGGATTTGAACCCGCGACCTGCGGGTCAGCAGCCGAGTACCTTAGCCACTAGACCACCGCGGCAGGGCAATTTGAACACCTGGAGACTCTTGTCGCAAGACAACAAAAATTTTCTGAGAAAAGTGTATGAGTACACTTGTGTCTCGTGAAAAACCATGCATTGCTTCACCGCATGGCACGAGTAACGAAGCAGCACCTCGGTTCTGATTTACTTTGTATGTGAAGAGAAATATTTGGAAAATAGTTATTTTTTATACTATTTCTGGGTTATCTGGGTCATTTATCTACAAAATGTATATTCTGAATTTTCTTTGTTTTGAATATTTTTGCGTATATAGTGTTTTTCATTGCACTGTTTACCAGCTGGCAACCAAAAGTTCCAAAATTTTCACATTTTTAGTCATTGTAAAGTATTTTTGTTGCTCTACAACAGATATTTTTTTGGAAAGAGCATTTCGTTGTTCATAGTTTGGTATGCTGCAATGCGTGTTGGAGTACTTTTCAAGCTGGAAAAAACGATCTTTCCAAGACATACGAAAACAACAACCATTTTTGCCCAGTAACGAAAGAAGTAAATGGTAATAGTGTGTACATATTCTTGTTTTCTATTCTAAAAGTAAGTCTGCTTTGTTATACTGCTCCAAATGTAGGGTATTGTGTTAAAAAATAAAAGCTTCTTTTTTCTGTAACCTGCACTACATTTAGATTCTGGTGCACCAAAAGCAACTGAATAAGAAAAAACATTTCGATGCTCCAAATCCTATTTCACCCCTATTATAAAGTGTGTAGAGGCTTGGTATGCTACAAATCAACATAAATGCAAGAGATTATGGGTTGGACAACCATTAAATTCTAACACCAGCTTTAAATTTTGTTGTAGATTGGAATGCCTAGTTGAAGCTCATAAGCTATTCTGAATGTGCTTTCATACATTGATTTAACCAGCGCTGACATTTTGTAGGGATTATTCTATATATTATTTTATCCCCTTGTTCTAAGCTCGCATGTTGTCATGTGGCAGGTATTGCTAAGACTGCCTGCTCAGCATGCTGAAGTGTGAGAAAAAACTCAAAACGGCTGTTACAAATGCAAGCTCCTCAAAATACCTCAAAAAGTTTGACAACATGCTGGTATTACTCAAACTATTTGAGAATACTAGAAGTTTGGCTGCCATTTTTTTTTTTGTGAGCCATCATTATTCTCTAAGAGAATGCCAATTTCTTATATCAATGCCAATTTATTAAGGCTTCACGGTTGTCTAGCCTTGCATCATATATTGAGCATTTATTGAGTGAAAAAACTTTAAGTGGGATGTGAACTCATCGTTCACATTGTTTGTAATCACTTTTTCATTGCAACATCAATGTTGTCAGGTTACGGGGAACCTAAATCTGTTTTTCTCTTTCCCTGCAGGGAATGCGATACTTATCCTACTTGCTCTATCCACTGTGCATTTGGGGTGCAATATACTCCCTTGTATACCAGTCATATAGAAGGTAAGCATGAAACATTGATGTTGTGCTATAATGGTGGTGTTTAGCTTCGGGAGAAAAAGAAACTTTTATTCTACTACAGGCGTCTGCATGGTAATAATTCCCTGTTAAGGGGCCCTGAAACATTTTTCAGAATAATCATAAAATAAGCCCCACTGTTGGAACATATTACCGCGGGGATCTCCGTCAAAAAAAATTTTTTTTTAATTCTTCAAGTATAAAAGGAGTTGCTGGTAATTATCGCGCCTTCCAATAAACTTTCTCCTTTCATTTCCTCAAGTATGCTGGAAGCTGTATAGTGGAAGATGGCAAGAAGCCAAAGCTGTGCCTAAAAATTTGTGTTGTCTCACCTCATGACCTTGAGCATTTTAGCTTGTATTTCTGTGAACTTATTGGCCACTAACTTCAGATGTGTGTGCTGCAAGCGTGTGGTGGTATGCTGTAGTAGCTGCAGTAATTATGGATGCGCCGAACAAGGCAGAGGCTGAAGTGTACTGGCTGGTCGTTGAGGTGGATCCAGCAAAAGTGATGCACAAATGTCGTGCACACACGAAGGTTTTTTTGAAGTGAAAGCAAAGCTGAAGTGCGAGCTCACACTTATGAACCTTGGTCTGGCTGTGCTACACGAGTACCCCAGAGTAGACAGGATTTGCCCAGCTCATGTGATGGCTAGTAGCCCTATCCAGATTGCACAGTTTGGAGTGACTTCACTTAGGTATATGGAAGCTAAAGCATCTAGCTCACAAGGAATGTATAAGAGAGCCCGTGTGCACGAGAAAGCATACGTGTAGTTTGGCAACGGTTTGAAGGAGCAGGTGTTTAGTACACCTGGGATAATTGTAGGAGAAAGGAAACATGAAGCAGATGTCCGTTGGTACTGCAGCAAAAGCTGTTATGAGATTATAACAAGGGCTGATTCTAGCACCATAGTTGTCCGCCGCCACTGGTGTCTGTAACCACTCTCGTGCGAAATAAGAAAAAAAACTAAATAAATAAAAAAATTTCGAGAACAGAATGGGAATTGAACACTAAGCAGCTTGGCAGCCCAGTGCTGTACCGCTGAGCTATGCCGATGCTTGAAAATCAGTTGCACACTGACCCTATGGAGGCTTTATGTTGGGTAACGAAACTCATTAACACGTGTAATAAAGCATTTTAGAACAGTGAAGTAACAACGAGTCATCACACAATGCAAATTGTGCAATGAGTCACTCGTTGAATGCTCTAATCCATTACGAAAGCCTTAGGAAAATTCATTGTCGTCAGCCACAGCATCAACAAAGTGCACATAATGCCTTGCAAGTGTGAAGCAGGTGCCACGCTTTACCGAGGAATGACAAACAATGGCATAGTGAACGCTTCCCCACTACACACAAATTATCATGAATTATGGTGTAGTGAATACCATGCAAGTGTGCTTTTAATAGTTGCCCCAAGACTGTCTGAAAAAGGCTGTAGAAAGGCTACTGTTCCAGCTTTCCCTGTGACTGTGCTGCACATACCACGCGGGCTTGGCTGTTTTTTGCCTGAAAGAGTTAAATGCCCTTTCATTCTTTTTGACACTGGAGATATGTATACTTTGTATTTACTCACTTAAAAATTACCAGTAATAAATTCATAGAATATTCTTGGAATCAAGCAATCAGCCAGTACTAATTGGACGTGCTTGCTGCATAGCTGAGGACGATACTGCAAAAGAGAAAGGGATTGGTTTCTGGCCATTTTTGGTATGAAATTGTGCATTTCCTGCTGTATGCAGTGCCGCGGCCGCTGGATGAAAGAGCGCACGGGTACGGCCTGCCGCGTGCTCCAAAACCGGCGTGACAGGTCTAGTTCCGAAATCACCACTGTGACGCCACCGGAGGGGGGGGGGGGGGGGGGGGTGACAGTTTTCGCGAGCGCCCATAGAATCGCATGCGCGGCGTGCTTGCGGTAGTTACGATTGAGTGCTTGCATCTTTGTGTGACCTGCAAAATCTTCTTTTAATATTCGTCTGGCGTGTTGCGCACCAGATAATTGCCAACCTTGCTTTGAGATACCTGCAGCCCTTTTAAATTTTTGGCATTGTCGTACCCGAGATGGAACCTTGCACACCGATCAGATTTCGCGGAAGTAAGAATTGTGAGCATATTTTACTCAAATCCTACAAGATCACAACTAACAGATCTGGAAGAGCTACACCTTTCTAATGCATCGAAATTAATTATAGTAGCCGAGTATGTTGCTTCAGATTTAATAATTTCATTTTGAATATGAAACCTCAGCAACTGCAGTTGCCACTGTTCCTTTAACACAAAATAAGATAGACCTTTTACTTCCTCAAAACACGGCTATAGTATTCATACAATGTAGTATTAGATGCAACAGCCACGAAATATACTTGGCATGTGTGCGATCTCATAAGAGTGGACTCGAGCCTCTTTGAAATTTCAGTGACTGTAACTTCAGTGCTGGCAATTGAGCCAGCAGTTATGAAGTGAATAATATGAAAACTGTGAGATCAAAAGAGCGATGAAATGCTGCAAAATGCGAACATAACTGCTTGCGTTCCTGCGCTTTTGAATGTTTTTGTCTCTTTCTGTCCCGACTTTCTCATGATAATACAACTAGTTCAACAGTGAACACATTATCAGAACAAGATGCGTGAAAATATTTTATTTATTCTCAATTTAGGGCTGATCCTGGCATTTTTAATTTTTTTTTACTTCTTCACACTTTTGCATAATAAAATGACTTGACAATTGCTCCAGGTAGGTAGGCAGGTAAGCAACTTTATTGATTCACAAAGGAATCATTTGAGGGGAGGAGGGGTGGCAGGGGAAGTGGAAACAGGATGACGACGGGCCCTCGGGCCGCTCTAAGTGGCCATACACTGCTGTGCTTTGGCGACTTTTCTGGCCCAGCTCACTGTCTGGAGCTGTAACCCCGGTTGCGAGCTGCGCAGAGCAGCCTCCCATCGCTCCTGGTGTTCTGACACTTGCCACGGGGGCTTGGGTTTGTTCGGACAATTCAGAAATATGTGCTGGAAGTCGGCTCTAGTGCTAGAACGTAAGTTGCAATGAGGCGAGCTTTCGCCATGTGTAAAAAGGGATAGAAGAAAAAGGAGTCATCACTGTGTCCGTTTGAAGTCTGCGCCACGAAGCCTGGTCACTTCTGGAAAGAGATTTATGTGGCAGGGGATACGTTAGGCTGGAATTTCAGTAAAATAGCGTGATATCGTGATAGCTGAAGAGTCAATCCCTGGCACCTCGAAGCGAAGGCAGGTTGCTGTGAGCTTGGTTGGTGAGTGCTCGGGCTTGAGTGTGAGCGGCCGTGTTACCGGGGTGTCCACAGTGCGCAGGGACCCAGAGGAGGGTGATGAGGTGATCAGGCGGAGAAGAGGATTCGAGAATTTTAGCAGCCGAAGAACGAATTCGGAAAGTGGCGAAATTACGAATTGCAGTTTTTGAATCGGAAAAAATATACTCAGCGGAGGAGTGAACAATGGCTAAAGCAATTGCCGCCTCTTCTGCTTCCAGGGATTCTGTCAAATTTGGAAGGGACGCACTAGCAACCAGTTTTTGAAATCCGTCTACGATGGCTATCGCGAAAGCTCTACATATTTGGCCGCGTCTACAATGACAGCGGGAGACAGCAAACATGGCACTTCATCGAACGCTTCTGGTGGGTCCACTGGATTCCGAGATAAGCAGTCAGCATCATGGTGTAAACGGCCAGATTTGTAGGACACCGAATAGTTATACTTTTGGAGCCGTAGTGCCCATCGACCAAGGGGCCCAGTGGGGTCCTTCAAGGATGCGAGCCAGCAAAATGCATGCTGATCGGTTGTGACGGGGAAATGCTGACCATGTAAATAGGGCCGAAATTTTTCTACTGCTCAAACGAGAGCAAGGCATTCTCTTTCGGTGATTGAGTAGTTCTTTTCTGCCTGCGAGAAGAGACAGCTGGCATAGGTGATAACGCGGGCGCAGTCGCATTGATGCTGGACCAAAACAGCACCGATTCCGAGGCCACTGGCATCGGTGCGGACTTCTGTAGGGGCGGCATTGTCAAAATGGGCTAGAACAGGTGGTTCTGTTAGCAATGTAATAAGTGTAGAGAACGCCGTAGCCTGCGCAGTACCCCATGTGAATGAGACATATTTTCTCAGTAAGTTTGTGAGAGGACAGGTTACTTCCGCAAAGTTGTTCACAAAACGTCGAAAGTATAAGCACAGACCAAGAAAGCTGCGGACTTTTTTAGTGCAGGTCGGAACGGGGAAGTTCTGCACGGCTCGCACCTTATAGGTATCTGGGCGTACACCAGAGGAGCGGATAAGGTTGCCCTACAAGGTTAGTTGCTGGCGTCCGAAGTGGCACTTTGACGAGTTCAGTTGGAGACCGGCATTGCAAAAAACAGCCAGTATTGAGGATAGCTGGTCAAAGTGGGTCTCAAAGGTAGGAGAAAAGACGATAACGTCGTCCAGGTAACAAAGACAAATTTACCATTTGAACCCACGCAAAAGAGAGTCCATCATCCGCTGGAAAGTGGCCGGAGCATTGCATAACCCGAAGGGCATGACCTTAAACTGGTAAAGACCATCGGGTGTGACAAAAGCGGTCTTTTTGCGGTCCATGTTGTTGACAACAATTAGCCGGTACCCTGATCTTAGATCAATAGAAGAAAAATACTTAGCGCTGTGAAGACAATCCAGGACGTCGTCTACGCGCGGTAGCGGTATGACGTTTTTTTAGTGATCTTGTTCAGATGTCGGTAGTCAACACAGAATCGCCAAGTGTTGTCCTTCTTTTTGACAAGAACTACAGGGGAAGCCCATGGACTACATGATGGCTCAATTATGTCTCTGGCGAGCATTTTGATTTTGTCGACTTCTGCTTGAATAATGTGATGCTCGGTTGGAGATACGCGGTATGGCTGTCCATGGACAGGGGAGGCATCGCCGGTGTCAATGCGGTGCTTTACAGCAGCGGTTTGACCTAGCGGACAATCACAAAAGTCAAATACGTCCCAGTATGACTCAAGGACGTGAAGGAGTGCGTCAGCTTGATGCAGCAAAAGGTCTGACGCGATCATTTTTTTAACGTCAGCAGACGGGCCTGCTTGCGAAGATCGAGCATGCGTGTAGCTGCAGTGTCCACCATCGTTGGAAAACAGAGCTGAGAAGATGCATTCATCAGAGGGAGTCAGCATGGCGAGGGCAATTCCACGTGGTAGCACGTGTGGACACAGAGCAAAGTTGAGAACTGGAATGCAGGCACGGTCCGCATGTAACTGAATAACAGTATGTGGTAAGGTAACAGTGTGAGTCAAGAGAATGGATGTGATGGGCGCGAGCACATAGTGGCCATCGGTTACAGGTGGCGAGGGTGTTATGGTGGTTGTAGTGACACGTATCGTGAAGGATTACGGCCACTAGCGCGGGTCCGGTCTTAGCAAGCCTCAAGGTGAGGACCAAGGTGCTCGCGTTGGCTTCGGAGAGATACGGGTCGGCGCAGCCTGGCCATGTACTAGGACACCGCTTCGCTCCTCGGCCTAGCGTTCAAGGGGGGGGGGGGGGGGGGGGGGGGGGCATAAGGTAAGCGTTTGCCGCGGTTGCAAAGGTGCTGTTGGGGAGTCTGAACGAGCCCCAAAAGGAGCCGACGGACGGAAAAGAAAAGCGTGCTTACCACCATGTCGTCCCCGGAAAGGTTTCTTGCTCCCTGACACTCGTGAAACTTCTCGGGAGACTCTGTGCGCGGCGCCACAGTTGACATCCGCTACCGGGTGAGAGGGGTTAAGCGTCACTCCTCGCTTTTCCAGCGCGGAGACCATGGAGGAGGGGAGTCATGTCGGGACATGAGAACGGAAAAAGAGACGGCAAAGCCCACGCAAAGGCAGCAGGCTAGCCTCAATTCCCTCATGGTGCAGGTCACAGTTTGCGGTGACAAACGGTCGTGTTCAGCAGAGCACATACGAGTTTCGGGTGGACTAGGTGGATCAATCGGGCAGGGCAGGTCAAGTTGCACAGTACCAGCAGAACAGTTGATTAGGGTGGAATGAGCGGACAAAAAGTCAAGTCCGAGAATCACATCATGGGTGCAGTGAGAGAGAAGGATAAAGAGAACTGAAGTTTAATGGCTGGCAATAGTAACGCGTGCATACAGACGCCAATCACAGTAGCCGTACTACCATCAGCAACACAAATACTGCATGAAGGGGTTGGAGTAAGGACTTTCTTTAAGCGGTCACGAAAGTGCAAACTCATCACAGAAATATGGGCGCCAATGTCTACCAAGGCTGTGACAGATAAATCATGTACTTCAACATTGATCAGGTTATGATTTGGTCGGGAGCATCAATAGAGGAACTGGAGAGCAAGTCGTATCAGCAGCGTCACCTCCAAGAGCTGCAGCCATTAGTTTCCCGAAGGAAACCGCTAGGCAGAGGATGGGCACGGGGAACGAGGTGGCAGCAGAGACCGGGAGTATATACGTGGAGGTGAAGGTGAGCGGCTGTACTAGGCAGTGGTTGTAGTGGTCGGGTCATAATTAGCTGAGCCATCATGCCGTGGTAGTTCCTGGCAAGAAAGATGGGGCTGGTGAGTGGAAGTTGGGGAAGCTTGGGTTTTCCAGATACGGTGAGGTCCACGTGCTTCGGCAATGATGGGAAATGTGTCCCACTCGTTTGCATCGAAAGCAAGTCGGCCTGTCGTTAGGCGTCCTTCATGCATTGTGGTGACGGTTACGTGGAGCAGGGCGGCGATAATGCTGTGGATGGTTTGGAGGTAGACGAACTGACAGCGTCGGGCCATGTGAATGCCCGCATTGGCTAGTTCTTGGCGAACAATGGTCTGTATTAGTGATATGGTCGGCTGAGGATCACTCAGTGCCAGTGCTCTCAAGGGTGAGGGTGATATGGCTCTGATTTCTCGGCTTATGATTCTCGTGATGTCACCGGAGTGTGGATTGGGCTGGGTCGCTATATGGAGATCCTCACAAGTTGACGTCGCAGCAGTGTTGGCAAAGTGCATAAAGTGGTGGGCAATGCGACAGCTATTAGCCTCTTAAAAGCGTTGACACTCCAAGATAACATCTTGAACAGTGGAACAGCCTTTGCAAACAAGGAGGTTAAATACATTGTCTGCGATGCCCTTGAGCACGTGCGCTACCTTGTCGGCTTCAGCCATGGTTTTGTCAACTTTACGGCAAAGGGTCAGAACATCTTGTATATATGCCAGGTACGACTCTGTGGAGGTCTGAACACGTGTGCCATGTTCTTTCCTAGTGGCCTGCTTACAGCCGGCAGATTGACCAAACAACTCGCGTAACTTGGTCTTGCATACGTCCCAGCTCATGATCACATCCACATTGTTGTTAAACCATGCCTTGGCCATTTATTGTAAATAAAAGATGGTGTTCAACCTTACCAGCATCAAGGTATGGTCCCATCTGTGATTGTCGCTGACCAGCTCGTAGAGTTAAAGCCACTCATCCACGTCCTCACCGTCCATTCCCAAAAAGTTGCCGGTATCACGGGGTGGAGCGGCCACGAGAAAAATAGGGGAGGTCGGTGCCACTAATGCGTTGGGTGCAGCAGCTGAAGAAGCATCGCTGCCGGTGGAAGCAGCGACTTGGCGTCCGCTGTGTATTTCCATCATGCGTTGTAACCCAGCACCTCCCACCAAAATGTTGCGTAAAGGCAGACGGGAAATTAGGTGTTTCAAGATATATTTACACGGCGCCAACGCGCAAGCCAAGATGGAGAGCAAGAGTACACCCCACACACCAAAATCACATCGTCTTTCTTGGCACCTGTCCCACTGCTTAAGAGAGACATTTTCTCATAACAATATTTACTGCATCATTAATGAAAATTACTAATAACATAGGTCCAAACACTAAACCCTGTGGCACTCCAAATGTAACTGTTACATCCAAATGTGACTAATATAGCATGTTGTGCTCTATTTTATGATAGTACATTTAAATAGGCCTCTGTATCATGCACTCGTTCCTTTCAGTTGCGTTGCTCTACGGCTGTGTGTGCATTTTCTCACAGCAAGTAGTAAAGAGTGAAGGAGGAATGGAATGTAATAACTGGTTATTAAACAAAAAAAATTAAGAGGAGGAGGAAAGCACAAGTAAACATAGTAGAAATGAAGGTGAGATGTGCCACAGAGATTTGGCTGGCTGTAGTATTGTAGCATGAGGGAGTTGACATTTTCGTCTATCTACCTTTGTTTTATATCCAGCTCTTTCATGACGGATCTCATACACGTCTATCTTGGTATGAACATTTAACCACAAGGCTTTTCTTGCTCTTTCTTTTTTGCTTAGCTGGTACTCCTGGTGCATTCATAGTCTCGCAAATGGTGAGTTCCACACCCTACCTCTCTTTTGTTTGCTGGTTTATTTTGCAATAGCAACAATCCATGCTGTTCAAATTTATAAGAATTAAATTGGCTGATTATATCAGCCAAATGATAAGTATAATTTGCAGTGGACTAATCACTTTAGCTCCTCAATATATATGCCAAAATATTGTGTCCAAATATGTATGCTTTGCATTTACATTGCATACAGAGACATACTTCCTTGTTGGAAATTTGCAATTTTCTCCACTTGTTCTTTTTCTTCATGTCTGTGCACTACTGGTTCACCATTTTCTTTTTATTCTCTAGTTATCACCTTGCTTTAAGAATGGCATGAAAAGGAAATATTGAATTGAGTTATATGGGCAGATTGATCATCTAGCACCACCACTTGCTATTTAACCTTCAGACCAATGTCTGTGCATTCTCTGTCCACCAATGGTTCAGAGTTTCTCCTTGAGTTTCAGATGCAATTTTTATGTGCCAACATGGCTTTATGATGAGGTGCTCTACAGAAACAAATGCTTTTTGAAATGATATTGCACCATTCAGGATGGAAGTCAGTCACATAGAGTTTTCAAATACTAATATACTAGAGGAAAATTTGTCGCTCGCACTTATGGGAGCTGCAACGCATGGCACTGCAGCCAGCATGGGAATTATGGGTAGTACATACATGTATTTGTCTAAGCTTAATTCGTTCGGCTTCATTTGGCCCTTCGAGGTGTGCAGCTGCTTTGTCGCTAGACAAAGTTCAGCAGTTCCACCTCACTGGACTTTGACCCTTTTGTGGTTCACCAATTCAAATTGGTTCACAACGTTCACAACAGTCTTTACATTCATTCAAAGCAGAACCAGAACACAACAATAAATAAATCCACAAGTGTGTTCGAAGCCACTAGCACGAAGACCAAGATTAGGCAAATCCATGTACTTCCCGTCATTCCCATGGTACAGTACGCTGTACCCATGGTGCTGAACGATCAAGGTGCCGGAGTACCCTCTGGTAAATATTGTAGGGAACTCTATGGTCAGATAGTCTGCATGTAATTTACTTTTTCAGCAGTTTATGATTTGTGGTTCATGACACTCTAGAACAGTGGTTATGGTTCTTCAACTTTCTGGCCTTGTGGAATGCCAACGACAATGAAGAGTGCCTTGAAAGCCCCGCCATTTTTTTTGGCATGAAGGTTTCTTTTTAGCACAATGTATCTCCACATGAGCTATGAGCTATAACTGATCTAACTTTTCATTCGATAAATCTAAAGCCTGACTAAAATTCAATGCAAAGGGCGGAGGTACAAGTGCGGTTCGTTTGTACTTTCATCCGATCTTTATAGTGATATTGCATGCGCTAGCAACTTTGAACTATTTCTCGAGAAAATGTTAAAGCCTTCACGCACCTGCTGTAGAATGCCCCTCCTTTATGCACGCAGAACACTTAGCATATACGAGTCTTTCGAAACGTTCGCAATCTATTTGCACTCTCTTCTGAGGACAAACTTTCAGATGCCTTCATAGATATACTGAATGTTTATTTTTACTTTAGACCCATCATGATGGTCTAGCATTTATGGTGCTTGACTGCTGACTTGGAGGTCACATTTTCGATGGAGACGAAAATGCTGCAGGCCCGTGTAATTAGATTTAGGTGCACGTTAACTTTTTGCGACAGTGGGCACATACGTCCCATTTTTCTATCTCTAGGAAATCTTTTCTCTCACATCACCCATTGTAATTATTGCAATGCTAAGTCACTCATATCTTGCCTTAGTGTTCGTAATTTCAAGGAAAATTTTTTTTACCATGCTTATAAAGGGCGGTTGTAGTGTTACAATGGCATTGAATTTTGGACAATTTTTTTATGATAGTGAATTTTGTTCTTCTTCAGATTGATAGAACTTACCAATTAAAATTCCAGATAATTTCTTTTTTTCTTGTTTTTTTTTTTTCAGAGAGGTGACTTTAGGTTCCAGTCATTATGTGTTTTTGTAAATTTTGCACAATAACTTAAGGGTCCCCCAATAACAAAATTGGGGGACTCTTAAGCTTTGCTTTTAAGAGTTGAACGCAATAGCGATATTCTGTTCTTAGAGTGTACTTCAAACACTTCGTGTATGGAATATTTTCAAACTTGCTATGCACACACTAAGTGGCCCTAAGGTTTCAGTAACCTGTGTGCCTTTTGTAGTGGGTGACTGGCTTTAAACTATGGATTCATTATGATAATCTCATGTTCTGACGCCCGATGGCTATGTACGCTTGTACCAGGCATTATTATGGCAACATTTCATGTTGTATTGTGAAGCATGTATAGAAGACACGTGTGTTTGTAAGGCATGAGTGTTGCTTTCACTGTATTTTCAAGCAGACCAAGTTATTTTCACTGTATTCACAAGCAAAGGCACGGCTTTGTGGTAGAACACCCACTTGCCATTCAAACGACCCGGGTTAGATTCCCACTTGGACCCAGATTTTTTTACTATTTATTTTATTTGCATCTTTTTTATTTTTCAGTCACGCAAAGATGATTTTTCTCTCACAACCAACAACACCAATGCCGACTCTGGAATTTCTGCGAAATGAAACTCTATTGCGTTACTAAGTACATAGGAACAATTCCCTGTGAAATTGCCCCACTTTACCCTCAGCCCGATTGCAGATATTGGTGCATGAAACATTTTTGTCTTAAAGGTGCCCTGAAACACTTTTTTGAGAAACCATGAAATTAATTCACTGAAAGCTTATTGCCTCACAAATCCAACACCGCAAAAATTTTAAGAATCCATTCAGTATGAGCGGAGTTACAAAGATTTGTCACACGCTGCAATCGCATTCTCTCGTTCAACGAAAGCCTTGGAAGCTAAGCAGGGAGGAATGAGAGGGGCAAACAAAAGACGTCACGCGTGCCTCCTGACCTTGAGCACTTTTTTTTTCTTTGAATACGTGGCTTTTTCAGTGCGATCACGTGCGCGCGGTTGGACAAGTGACAGCCTTTTGCGGCGAGCTCTGTAACGACTGAGCGCGCCATGTTCAAATCAGCCAATAGCTGATAGATGGGCTTACTACGAGTGATTTTTGGGCTTATTGCTTGATTTGTCGAGAGAAAAGAAATCAATTTTTAGCTGACTTTGACAATACATTGTGAATTCCAGGACGTGTGTTACGCTATAATATTTAGCTCGCGTGTTGTTGGGAGCTTCTACTCCCGATCGGCAGCGCTTTCCGACCATGCTCAAAAAGTGTTGCAGGGCTCCTTTAATATCGCAGACCTTTTAAAAAGTTCGCATATATTCAGGGACAACAGCTGTAGTGAATAATTTTGACAGCAAAAGCAAGGACAGCCAAATGAACAAAAATATGGTTGGTGCATGCTGTGAAGTGAGCTTTATTGGAACAGACCACCATGCTATGACAGCTCTCAAGGCGTGCTACAACAGGGGCTCTTCTCCTGCTGAAATGAGGTCCACACAACTTTTCTCTTGACTGCTTCAGAAGTGATACTCTGCGGAACTTCCTTATGCCCATTCATCCCAAAAGACCCATTTATGATATTGCGAAATGGTGCCTTCATGAGATAGTGGGACTGTGTTTTCGCACTTTTTGAAAACACTCACAAGAGTTGTTCTCAGAAGAACTAGTGGCTTGATTTTTATTAAATTTATTTTAAACTATTTCTTGGTAGTACACTCAAACCTTATTACAACTAACTTGCATCTGCACGACTATTTTTCGTTTACTTCGTTATAACCGACATTTTATTATATCCTGGTACATTTTATCGAGACTACTGCACAGCCAGTTATTATATCATCATTTAAAAAATATAGGGGAACCTACAAAAGGTTGAAGAACCCCTGGAGTTTGAAGTTTCCGAAGTCCTCCACTTTGGCGTCTCTCATAATCGTATGATGGTTTTGAGACATTAAAGATCATATGATGGTCTTGGGACATTAAAGGGACACTAAAGAGCAAAACGCTTATTCTTGTATAAAGTACAATTTCACAATCCGGGAAACACCATTCTTACTGCGACATGACACTTGGTAAGCGAGAAAACATATGAAAAAAAAAAAACTGCAGGTGGAGACGCCACCTTGAGATTCCTGCACCAAACACTGCGACGTGTGGGGTCTTGAAATGGCGAGCGAGCGCCACGCTCTTGGAGTGAAATGACACAGTAGACGCGGTCGGTACAAACCAAACAACAACATACATTTATTTAACTAATTTAGAACGACGATATCATCCGCCGAATTGATACATCAATCGTTATCAACACGCTGGGACATCCGTACACAATATTACCATACACTCCATAACAATTACAATAACACAACAAACACACAATAAAAATACTCAAGGCGGCGTCGCCAACGCTTGACTTACCACGAGGGCCCCCGACACGCAGCCTGCGGTGATACGCTCCGGGGACCCATGCTAGAAGCAACCGTTTGTGGCAACCGCCACGCGCGCAAGAAGACTCGCTCAACTCTCGCCGGTGCTACACCATGATGATGATCATTGTGGTGATCAACGCAAACACAACGCCACCTATTGCCCAGTGGTTGTAACCCGAAATGCAGCTTTTGGGCGGGACACGTGCGTCACGCAGCACAAACATTTTTACAGGGGGTGTCAGCACCCCCACAGACGTCATAAATTTTTGAAGGCGTCAACCTGGTCCTACGTAGCTTGTAATCGATAAAATTGAAGTACGTTGTAATATGTTGGTGCCATAGATTTAGCTACGAAGTTTCAAAAAATTTCATCGAACTAATGTTGCGAGAATACGAAAAATACATTGTGGAATTTCTTACTTCATGCACGGAGATTACGGCATCAAATCTAAAAATGGAACTTCAATCTTGATTTTCTCCGCTTATAATGAACCTATGACAGAGAAAAATTATGACATTAGAGTTCTCAGAGTGCAGTTTGTCAATCTAAAACAATTCATAATTTCTCTTTAGTGTCCCTTTAAACCCCAGCAGTTATTGTTATTTTTACTTCAGTTTATTTTTTGTTTGCTTGTTGTTTACTGGAAAGGCAATCATAGATTAACCATTAAGGATCTGTGAATATTTAAATATAGATGAAACAAACAAAAAAACGGTCTTCAAATATTGGATCAGATATAAAATAATTAGCCATGATTATGTACACTACAGGAATAAGGCCTCTCTCAATGATTTCTAACCCACTCTGTTCTTTTCAGATTTGTTAATTTTACCTGTGCAAATTTCTTAATTTCCTTGCTCTGGCTAATGCTTCCCCATCCTTGGCCACTTGTGTTTCGTTATATTTTGCAAAATGAGAAATAATGACAGCTTTCGTTACTCTTAGGCTGCAGCACAATGAAGACACTTTTGGTAATGCTTTCTTTACAAACTATCATGTAGAAAAATTTACTGCTTGACATGTTTATGAGGTGAGAACTCCTCCAGTGCTTTAAAGGGCCACTGACATACGATTTCAAGTGCAAGATGGCTCCTTAATTTGATTGCTCGTTATGCACAAGCATTTTTGACCAAATGTGTGGCGTCCATCACTTGTAAGTTTATTTTATTTTGCGAGCAAACAATGCACAAAAGCTCAATAGGGTACTTGGCACCCAGCGACATCGACATTAATAGGACTTGTTTGGTGTGTCCTATACCATTCTGAGTGACGATGTATTAGTAGTGATGCCATCAACGATCCAAATGTTCTTATCGTGACACCGACTGGTGCCAACACCTGGAAGCGCTTTCACTCCTATTGGCTCTCCTCAGTCCTCATGCCTATCTTCATTGTGCTCTTTTGAAGGATTGTTGTGTGCTCATCAGTCAGCATATGGGGGTCAATGTGAGCTGGAGTTGTGTTGTTTATAGCGCGGAAAAAGCTGAAAGAGGGTGTTTCATTATACTTACGGCACATGCCAACACAACTAAAAGCTATCAAAGTGTGGTAGCGTATGGATAAATACCATTACTAAGTAACATGCACGTAGTGTTTATAGAGAATTTTACCTTGTCCATAGACTACTTTGCGTTAGCATGATACTGGATCATAGCAGCAGCTAAAGTGATATGTGGGGCCATCTGGCAGTGCACGACAGTAATGTACGAGCCAGGCCACTCGCAATAATAGGTTTATGGGCCGCGTGCTTGAGACCCGTGCTCTCCTCTGCAGTGTCCTGAAAGGAATATGTAGGCTGTCACCGTTTTACATATGCTTATGCGTGAACATTGCACGAATGTTTCAATGGAATCACTAAGTGCACACAGTGGTCCACTGTTAAAAGGAACACCGGAGGGTGTGGAGGTGGCTGCAGTGATTTTCGGGCAGGCGCTGTGCATGCTGTAAGCCGTACTTTTTCGTCATCCACTATCAACTGCTTCGACGCTGTGAATAGTTGCAAAGCCAATCATTTATTCAACAAAAGAGCGCCACTCACGGCACACACTGCACTTGTGCGAAACTCTGCAACTGCTAGTCGGTGAAGGTGGTGCCACACGCTCCAAAGTTTCTTTTAACAGTGGACCCCTGGGTACACCAGTGGCCTAGCATTTACTTCACGCAATGCTGTGATTCTAGTACAAAGGAGTAAAAAAAAATTAAGAGTAGAAGTGATAATGTGTGTATTTGTGTGTGAATGTGTGCCCACATGCATTTTGCATCGCTCATATATTTTTTCTGTTTGTATCTACCTTTGTGTCTGCTGCAGGAGTGTATGCCTTTGGGTTTCTGTTCATGCTGCCTCAGCTATTTCTCAACTATAAGCTGAAGTCAGTGGCTCACCTGCCTTGGAAAGTGTTCATGTATAAGGTAAGGTAGCTCTCCTTTTGAGCAAGTGCTGGTTTATGTTGGAAAAATATTCTACTTTGCATTTGCAATATTTTCACCTTGAAAATCAATGAACACTCACCCTGTCCATTCAGCTTTATCCAAATGATTGGTAGGTAACAGTTAATATCATGGTTATACTTAATTATATTTCATCTTAAAATATAGTGTAATATCCTAGTTTTAACAGTTTGCAGCATAAGGTAATATGTACCAACATCTTAATGTGCAACTAACTCTCAGGATATATTTCAAGACCATGCTGTTTCTGATAAAAAAAAAATAATGAAACATGCAGAGCAGTACAAATTTGTGAACACTTTGCTATTGCCAGTATTTCTTCACCACTGCAAAGGAAAAAGAACTGAAAAAAAAACAATGAATTGTACCATTTAACTTTGGTTAAAACATTTAAAATTAATTTTTATGTGATTTTGTACCTCATGATAGGATTTTTAGCTCATTTTTTAATTGGTCCTTTTGACTAGGAAGGTCATAACTGTCTTTCATATTTAGTCTTACAGAGATTATGGCTACGGTTTGGCTGAATGGCTCTGACTCAGTTATGTGACAAGGGAATAGTATTTTAAAAGAAGGTGGTTCCACCATTCTTCCAAATGTTCTGAAAAGCCCTCCCTCACTGAAGTTTCATGAGGCAGCTTATGAAATGTGGAGAATCGGTGAAGAATTACAGCACAGAAATCAACGGGGGGAAAAGAGGCACATGAAGTAGACAAATGCAATGCCGACTTTCAAGAAAATGTTTGTTTTGCTGGTGCTCAGCTATTTTTACCGCACACCTGGCAAAACAAGAACATTGCACCAGTGCACTGATTCCACTTGTATCGCTATTGCACCCTGGTATTTGTATCTAGGTAGGTCAGCTTTTTCTCTCACAAGACTACTTATTGGCAGCCAACAGAGTCAAGTGTGTTATCATGGCAGCATTGATAATTTCTCTTGTAAGGGTTGGCTTGCAAGGAATGTGTTGTACTGTTGTATGGCATATGAGCGCAGAGCCTCTTGAAAATATAACATATTAAAGAAGGTGCCCAAGAAAAAAAGTTATTGCAAAAATCTCTTCAGCTTCACTGCTCCGCTGCTAATCTGTTTCTCTCTCTTTTTTTTTTTTTTTTTGTTGCAGGCATTTAATACTTTCATTGATGACCTCTTTGCATTCCTCATTACAATGCCGACAGCTCATAGGGTGGCTTGCTTCAGAGACGATGCAGTATTTCTAGTCTATTTATACCAGAGATGGTAAGTGTTTGAAATCTCTGTAATGATATCCTACGAAAACTGGTAGATTTCCTGGTTGAGTTTTCTATATGGTTATAAAAAAAATTCAAATTATTTTTTTACTTTCGACCTGTTCACAATTATTGAACTGCAGTGCACAAAATGAAGTGCCTTGCTCGTTGGGCAGCATTTGTTAGCATCTCATAAAGTGAGTGTTTTCATTTTGCCACTGTGTTGATTTGTTGAAGGCAAATATACAAAAAAAAAAACGAGACTGCCACAAGAAATATTGAAATCAAAAGGACAAGGGTTTTTGGCAATACTTAGACTGGCTATGAATCTTCATTCACAGTCAATCGCTGGAGATGTTTCTGTGCCATTATGCCTTCTTCTTTTCACCTCTTACAAAGAAAAAAAGTACACCTGGGAGTGAAAGGGCCTCAACTAGACTCTTTTTTTTCTTTTATGTCTTTTATCTGCAAAGGCATTCATACTGAGTTCCTATGTAAGAACAGTCGCATCTAGGAAATGTGATCATTATCAAGCAGCAGAGTGTTGCATTTTGCATTTTTTTTTTGTTTTTTACTTTTTGACACTTGTGTATTTGAGTTCTGTCACTAAACAAGGGTAATACTAGATGTTTTGTATGTTCACCCCTTGCAAAACCAGGTATTAATGGTCGTGTCTAGGTACATGTTAGAACTACCATGCAAAAAGCATAAGAACAGCTGTTGTACTTGCTGAGGAATTGTGGCAAGTTTATTAAAGGGCCAGTAAACAACCTCACAGCTATAAATTTCTAATGGTGAAATAACTGCACACTTTTACTATGTAGACAGGCTGCCAAAAGAACATTGTGAATAAGTGCTGTAATAAGGAAGTTACAAGCTTTAGAGAAAAAAAAATTGCACATCAATTCTCTCTGCAGGCAACCATGGTGGAATGTGAAAGCATCGCGGGGGGTGTGCATCAAGTTTCCGTTTTTCTTATGTGGCTTATGAGATGTTGGTTGTAGAGGCGTTTGAATTGCCGCTTGCCGACGCTGACATTTACATTCAGCTTCCCGAGCTTTCCTCTGCTTCCCGGCTGTGACCCTGCTGCTGCAACTACCGCCAACATTGACTTTGTTCATGCCGTTTCGCACAGTTATGCACAGAGAGAGAATGATGGAAGCACAGTGAACACACGCTTTTGCTGTAGCTTCAAGATCCGCTTGCCGGCGTTGTCGTTTACGTTCAGCTTTGCGAGCATTCATAGCACCATTGCGAAGGAGAGTGCAACGGGAGGTTGGGCACACAGCTGTGACAGAGAGAGAGAAACGGGGGAGGATAAACAAAGCCGAGGCAGCCCTCACGCCACCTCCTCCCCCCACCTTCTTGCACCTCCTTGCGCTCACGCGAGGAGGTGGAAGAAGGTGGGGGGAGGAGGTGGCGTCAGGGCTGCCTCGGCTTTGTTCTCGCTCATCCTTTTCACTTTTTTTTAACTTCGGAAAGGGGTAAACATAGTCCTTTGTCGTGACTACACCCACTTCATCAACATAATGCGACAGGAGCAATATGTCATAGGTGCACAGCCAATGACCAGGTAAAGCTTCCCCCACGTGAGCTCCTGTCTTGGGGGGGGGGGGGGAGTGCAGTCAAGAAGGACCCTTCTTTTAGCCGTGTAGTAGTGAGACACCTCTTTATCTCGGAGGCTTTCATTCTAGCAACGTTGCTTTTCTCGGTAGTCTTGGGCTCTACAAAATCCCAGAAGGCAGCATAGGAAAATGAAAATGCGGACTGCTTGACCAAAACTGCTTTACCACAGGGCCAAGGTGCCATTTCGTAATGCAAAACACCAATTGACAAGCTCAGGGGTGTGTAATGGGCAATATTTTGTTACTGCACTGACAAGGAGGATTGGTCATTCAAAGGAAAGAAGTATGAAAATTGTTTTTCGAAAAGGGAGTCTGTGCAATGCACATCACTAAGAACATGCCACAGGCCTATGTAAGGATGGCTAAATTTGCATATGTCAAAGAAGTGGGGTGCTGCCTGTTCACTCTATTGGTATAGTATCATAAAATTAGCGATCACTAATAAAACTGATTTACTGATCACTAATTAAATTGATGGTATAGCTGTTTAGAAGGATGATTGTGTGGGAGGGTTAATGTAGGTTTCCAGGACCTGAAATATCATTACAGTAGACTTGCGATAATTCAAACTCTGATAATTCATACTTTCGGTTACCTTAAACAAAATTCAATTTTTTTGTTGGCCCTCTATTTTTCATTGTATTTAAAACCCTCTTAATTCAAACTCCATCATTCAGTTAATTCACACTTTTGCATGTCCATACCAGAAAATACCTGCTGCTTTCCCACTACTATTTAAAAATTTGTGTGCTTATTAAACCCTAACAGTCTAAAAATGAAAAATAAGCACCTGAGGCCTTCAAGGAAAAAGGTTTTGCAAATAAATGTTTGAAACGAAGCACGCGCATAGTAAACCGTGATGCTTCTCAACTGGTATAGAGAGCTTTGTGCTGAAGGCACATACCTATGAATTCAGAGTTTGAATTATCGCGACTCTACTTTAGCTGCTAATTCTCTAACAATGACTTCTTGTTTCATTTCCTTTTTTTGTAAGAGTTTTGACCTCTTCCTCAATGCAACATTTTTTTTCTAATCTTTTTACTCCTGAAGGCACATACCTATAGCAATGAAGCAGTTGGCAATTCACGATTTCTTTAAACGGTCTGATCGGCAGTAAATGGCCAATAAACTTGTGGACCTTTACACCTCTGCTTTCTGTTCACTCCATACAGCTAGGGTTTAAAAATAACTAAAATTTCCAAATGTGTTGAAATCGGTGCCTAATCATAATGTGTGGTGTCACCTCACCCAGAGTCATCTATCTGAGAACTTCTGATAATTCAAACTTCTTGATAATTCAAACAAAATTCAGAGGTCTCTTCGAGTTTCAATTAACAAGATTTGACTGTATTTTCACTTCTATGTAAATTGTCCAGTGTTTCTCCCATTTGCCATCTTTTTTTTTTCTAACCACGCCTGCAAGATTTTAAAGATGTGCTTTCTATTAGCTGATGTGCACTGCTGCGCTGCTTAATTAACTGTGACCAAACCTGCCCGTCAAACCAGTTTGACTCGAGAATAGATTTTAATCAAACCAGTCTGTCAGATCAGTTTTATTCTAGTTTTATCGGCATTGTATGCATAGAGAGGTGCCCCAGCTATAAAATTCAGTGATGCTTTCAATTTCATGTCTAAAGATTCTAGCTAGTGTTTTGAATGTAGCAAAGGTCACATGCCCAGCTTGTAAAAGGCGCAGCAGATTAACAATCAGTTGGTTGTTTGCAACTCTTTTCTACAAAATACATTCCAATTTATTCTGTTAAAAAAACTAAAAAGCTTAAGAGGTGAATCATCCCACACTCTTCTCCTGTGCACATATTGTGCATGACTGATTAGCTTGGTACTAGAAGGTTGTGTAGCCCCGCCGCCGTGGTGTAATGGCTAAGGTACTCGGCTGCTGACCTGCAGGTCGCGGGGTCGAATCCCAGCTGCATTTCCGATGGAGGCCGAAATGTTGTAAACCCGTGTGCTCATATTTGGGTGCACGTTCAAGAACACCAAGTGGTCGAAATTTCTGGAGCCCTCCACTACGGCGTCTTTCATAACCATATGGTGGTTTTGGAATGTTAAACCCTACATATCATTAGAAGGTTGTGTAAGGTGATAGGTACAACTAATACCCGTCACACGGCAAATCCAATGTTATTTACAATCAATGTTCGTTTAAAATGCCATTTGTTTGCTATCACATGAGGAAACTGATTTCATTCATTGAAAACTACATTTCCTCTTAAATAAGTTCACAAGACACATACGCACTCGATTTTGGACTGAATGTGAAGCCTCAACGCCATGCACCTTTTAGGGAAATGGCTATTAAAGGGACACTAAATTCAACTATTAAGTTGACGTTGATTGTTGAAATGGTGGTCTAGAAACCTCGTAGTGTTACTTTTGTGCCGAGGAAGGGCCTATTTTGGAATAAAATCGCGTTTTAGTGGTCCGCATCGGTTAGCGCACCTCAAGTTACCCACCTCGAGAAGCGGACCGACCAGTTCATCTCACGTCACTGTTGCCGTGCACAAGGTTGCCCGGCTTTACTGCGCTAGTAGCAGCAGACCGAAAGCAGTGGGAGCCACAGCAGCAAAAACGGTCGTTGATCAATTTCCCTCCATTAGCTCCGAGATCGCAGACGCTTTTGTTTCAACTGCACCCTGCTAGATGGCACCACCTGTCCCATGTAACCACGCGAAAATTGAATTTTTGAATCATTCGCGCAATTTGCCACAGTAACGCCCGGCGGTTGTTTTTTCCCATGAATAAAACAGAAATGAACAAGCAGCATTTTATGCGTCTCTTGATGCACAAAAAGTTCTTTATTTAGTGCAGTTAGATCGATTACTAGTGATTAATTGTTGGCGGTCCGTCTGATATCATCGGGATCATTTTAAAAATGCCCTACTGCGGCGTTTGTGTTCTTGTGCATTTACCTTAATTTCTCGGTAAGTAGGCCACTGTTGTTGATAATATTGTCATTTTAGGTGTTGTCATACATTGAGCTTTCACTCTGGCATAAATTGTTTTTTGACTTCACTGTCCCTTTAACCTGTGTATATGTAACTTTTGTAATTTGTAAATGTCTTACTCTTTTCTAGATCAACTTATTACGAGATTGACGGCGTAATAGCATGCGTGAAAGTTTCTAAAAAAAAGCTGCTCTCAACTATATTGGCTAGACCCCAGCCATGTGCTCTGCTGTCATTGTTGCCTGTATCGTGGGTGTTGTTCATGTGGTTGCACATGTTTTGGTGATCAAATCTGGTGCAAGTGTTTGGAGACTACACAAATTAGCTGCTGCCATTTTTTTTTTTTTTGTGCAGCTGGGGTGTCGGTCATTCTTCCACTCTTCGGTTTACTGTACTCTGACACCTGATGATATCATCAGTCATGTTGACTTTCAATGAACTCTGGGATTGACTTCGTTCGTGTTGTGCAACTGTAGCAAGTTGTGTAAAACTACTGCGTTTCTATCGTAGGAGCACTTTTTTAGCGACAAAGTATTATTTTTGAGGATACAAGAATGTTACACACAAGTTTTAACAAATTTTTACTTTTCCTGAAGTCATAGCTCAGGAGGGCTAAGGTCATGGTCATCATTTTAAAATGATATATTTGTTTTCGTGTGACAACAGGCACCTGGTAAAAGTTAAATGTCATTCGTTGTAAATCATGTTAGATTTGACGTGTGACAGGGGTATATTATAACGTTGATGTCGTTTATTATAGCTCCATAAAATCAAATTTATCTGCTAACAGTAAAGTCAAACAGCATAAATATATTTAAGCAAAAATTCTGACAGTTCGAATGGAGGCTAAAAGAGCTGTACACAAAATTCAACTGCTTAGCATTCCTTAACATTATTCTAAAAATTTGTCATTTCTATCTATCAATTGTAACTTGTGCTCAAATATTCAGAGACAGCAATTCTCTTATTTTTACTATGACAGGGCTGCTGTCTGCAAAAGGCAACTTGAAATTAATTTGTATTCATGTTTTATATTGAATTCTTGTCGTAGTCTTCCTTCATAAATGCTACATGTATAATTGTATTAGTTTGAGCAGGGTTATACAGATTGTTTGTATTTCAGAAGTATTGTTTGTATTTCAGAAGTAGTAGTAAATACAAAGGTTAAATACAAGTATAATAAGCTCCTGTTAAGACGAACTTTGGACGAATTCTTGCTTAAGACAAACAACACGGAAGTGTTTGTTTGGTTTCCCATAGAATCAATGCAAAAAAAAAACCTGCTTTAGACAAACTACGTAACAGCCCTCTTCTGTTAAGACAAACTATCACACTGGCTGATAATGATAGGTATTCGGCGCAACGAACATTGAAAGTCTTGATGGGGACATTCAGGCGAACAATAGAAAGCAAAACAAAAAATAGAGAGACTTCCTGGCACAAAGACTGAAAGCAAATCGAAAGCAAATTGTGGCGTGGAGGGAGAAAGTGAGTTGAGTGGAAAAGACAGGTCAGCGCATATAGCTGGCACCTCCCCCATCCCTAGCATGTAAGTGGAGAAAGGGTCGGCTTTATCAGCAAAGAAAGCAACAAAAAGAGTTGGTCCTTTTGTGTTGTCCTCACGTTCTTTAGTTTACCAACTGGAGTACAGTGTATAACAGAACACAAGAGCTTGGCTAGAGGGGAAAATGCAAGTTAAAAGGGGCGAAAAAAAGCCAAATGAATGTAAAAATGGGAACAAAGATTGTCTGTGCATTATAATCACATGAAATCAGAAGCACATATGCGGCACCAGCACTTCCATCAGAGGAGTCAAATGCATTGTCAGCAGCTGAGCACATGTTGTGGTCAGTTTGCGTTGTTTTGCATAGGGCCTGTGCACTTCGTATCTGTTCCTTTGTGAGCCAATTGTGATGCTCCTTTTCACTATGAATGTACACGACAAAGGAAGGTCAGTTTGTGCACTAAATATAGCTGTGTCATGTCTTTTAAAAACTATAGTCTTTCTTGAGGTACTTCGACGCAAAATTTTTTGTATGTCTGTCTGTACATTTGTCTGTTTGTCTGTCGTAACGATACCCCAAACAACGCCAAGCAATACCTCAAATGGCCAACCCTGTCGGCAGCGCCCACCAATGTTGCTCAAGCTTCAGCGTTCATACTTGTGAAATTGTCACTTGAAAATCAATTATTGCGCGTATATGAGGCACCATAACAACACGTCAATATTTTGTATGTTTGTCTTTATACTAGAGACGGCACACATAAGTAATTCTAAGGACCGTAGCGTTAATCATGCTGCACTGACAGTGCAATGCGATGCTCAAAAAGGCAAGTGTTTCCAACACTTTGCTAAGACGACACGGTGGTGGCACCTGCCCATCGCTTTGCGTTCTACACCTTATTGGCTCCGAGATAGGCGTGCATCTTTCTCCGTGGGCACGAACACCTTCCTTCGTTTTATAATAAAATAACTGCCAGATGGCGCTCGTGTATAATGTGCCTCGATGCGCTTGTTCGCCTTCGCTGCACGTATCAAGACTCTCTAAGCCAGCGTTTCCAGAATACAATTTACCGATTTTCTCGTGCAGAACATCATATAAGCGTTTTGTTCACTCTCTCCACACGCAAGACTATCGTCTTTTGATGACATTTGCAGTGAAACATGCAGATACGGGGCCAATGTTTTTTTGTGTGCCCAAGGCTTGCGATCGTAAGTAGCGTAAACAGAGATCTTCAGCTGCATGTCGTTCAGGAAAAGTTACTGCTGGCTGAAAATAAGAAAATATCTGAACCTTAAAGAAAAGCTTGCAGACATTTATAAGCAACTTGGCATGTATTGGCTTTGCCAAGGTAGTGGTATGTAATGGAGGCGTATCCAAAAGTGATAGCAAAGCAGGTAAGAGCCTCTCAGAAGGTGAACAGTCAGAAGAAAAAATTTTCCATGCTTTGAAGGAAAATTGTGCTTCTCTGCTCCTTTTTATCTTTTTCTAATCATCAATATAGGTTTGTGCTATAGTTTTATTGTTAAAATGTGATAGCAATTTATTTATGAGCATATTTACAATAAACTCGCAAAATCAAGTACTCTTTATGTTAGTCTAAATTCTCTACTGTAAAGCATATCTTCTATCAATCTGAGCTAAATAAATGTTTTTTCTTGTTGCTTTCATTCCCATTGTAAGTATACTTCATCCAGTGTTTTCAAGAAACATATTTGAGTATACTTGGCCTGTTAGCAGTTGGTTTTTCGGGGCACTTCTGATAAAACAAACTCCTAATAAGACAAACAGATGATCATACTCCCTTCGAGTTTGTCTTAAACGGAGTCTACTGTAATATTAAATATGAATACAAAGTTAGTCTAAGTTATACAAGTTCGAAGTCATGCTTACTTGACTGGCTAATGAAAAGTGGCTTTCATACAGTGTGAAGTGGTACTAAATGGAAAGCCATTATTTTTATGGTGCTGCTTGAGTGTATGAGAGTGTTCATCTGCCAGGAGAATTGTTATCGTAGTTTTTTCTTTCATATATTTTAGTGAGCATGAGTTCTAGATATTGTTTGTATCGTGAATGGCTAGGTGCTGTATTGCACAGCTTATCCAGCTCACTAGATTTACCTGTTAGCCTAAAACAGCGCATAGTTTGGCCTTTTCATGCATAGCAGTTAAAATTGACAGTAATACAGGACAACCAGCACTACAAGGCATGATTGGGGTATACCAATTGGTACTAGCATGCTACAACGTATGGGCAATTCAAAGTACAATAGCTGATGTTATATTGTGAACAAACCATGTATATAGTGCTTTTCCACGACGTAGTCCATACAGCTTCAACAGATACCATTGTTCTGCCCATTCTTTTGGCACTTATACAATGTTAGCATAGTTGTGTCTAATTGCTCCATGAATTGTAATGCATGCATATCTTAAATCTGATTATGTGTGTCTCCTTTTATTTGCTGGCAGGCTCTATCCTGTGGATAAAAGCCGTGTGAATGAATTCGGGGAGAGCTTTGACAAATCACCAGAGAAGCCGAAAAATCAGTGAGCCGTCTTGCATCCACTGTGCACCGACTATAAGCCTGCAAAATAGTCCGGGGACCCACACAATTCCATATGTTGTGTTATCTGACATCATGGGACTCTCCACATAGCATTTCTCCTAAGCCAGAGCACACTTTTTCATTGCAGTGTGTTGTCTGCTTTCTGGCCGCACCTTAACATTGGTTTTTCTGATTTTGCTTTTTAAATTGTCATGTATGGTAGTAGGTTTGTGGAAAGAAATATTGCTGTGCATACGGGCTTAATAATTTCATTATCACATGAGGAAGATTGGCCATTAAGCTTTATTAAATTTTTTGGTAAGTAGTAAGTAATTAGTTACGTACTTGTTGTTTTATTGTAAGGATGAGCTGTTTTTTTCCTAATAATTCAGTATTTTGTAAGCAAAACAACAGAGGTTGTGTCAAAGATTTGTATACAGTACAGTAAGTGTACCAGTATCATTGACATTGCCAGGGGGGAGTGGGTTCAACCTCTCCCTGAAATTTTTTTTTTTTTACACTTATTGCATGTATATATTGCATACTCGTGCATGTGCGCACTCATATGAAAGCTTACAGATATCACCTTCTACATCCTCTCCTTCCCTTCTTTCGAGTAAAATTATTCTGAAAAGGCAATACAGTTTCTTCAAATGCCCGTGTCGCAGTTTAGTCAAAAAGAAAAAAAAAAGAGAAGGCTGGACATTCTAGTAATCATGATAAATGTGTCACATGCAGTTTTATATCTGGAAATCATTAATTGAAATACTTGAATTATTAGCCCTTATTTGAAGTGAAACAGCGTGGGTGTCTTAATCTTGCAAAAAAGAAAGAGTTGGTTGAACTAGTTTTTTGTGATGTAGGATTATCAAGAGCAAGTGCCTATACAATTTAGACTAAACATCATCTATCAGTATCGATATAGAGGGGTTGTAAGACTTCTTGGTTGCCTGCCAAAATAGAGTGCATTTACATTTACACTGGCACTTGAAAATTTGTCTTTCAGCATGCTATTATTTTTGTTTACGAAACTTGGATTTTGGAAGTTCCTTGGTGTGGTAAACTGAAGTGGAGTAATAAAATGAATTGTTTTTCACTGTTGACTCATTTGTACGTATGGTTTCACTAGGGTAAATTTAGACATGTTTTTTGGGTTGCGCCAGAGCCAATTTCTACAACATTAACGCCGATTTCTGCATTTGCGATGATTTCCTGGGCACACAAAAGAAAGTAAATCGTCCGAGGAGCCTGTTTTTCGGCATTATATCCAACCAATGAAACTATCGGGCAGTTAAGCCAAGGAAAGCATGGGGGACATTAGCTGTGGTTTCTTAAATGTAGTGTAATGATTCTCACTGATTTGAAAGGAATTCAAGTAAAGGAAACACCACCCTTTCGGTCCGCAGGATCCGAAACCAAATCTATCAAATTACGCGTCCAATGCTCATGTGCCCTGGGACGTTTTCTGGCAAAAAAAAGAAAGGAAAAAGAAAGAATGAGTATCCACACTCGCCTGGGCTATGAGTGGCGCTGGCTAACATTCTCAGGTAATAAGCACACATAAGTACCCTACCAAAAAGTGGACCAGAAAATGACCATTGTAACTCAAATGGTTCAGCATTAATTGCACAATTCAAATGTTATGGGTTTGAATTCCACTGACTGAAGGGGTGATATTTCGCCCACTTTTAATTCCTTTCAACTTATGTGAGAGTTGTTACATTATACTTAAGAAGACACAAATATTATTCCCATACTTTTCCCTAGCTTATTTGTCTGTCGGTTCCATTGATTCTTCTGAGTGGTGATCTACACATAATGTTTAAGTATGATGCTGCAGCTCTTTAATCATTTGTATAAAGGACGACTGAATTTACAATGGCTGTCGTCGTTCGTGGAAGAAAGCTGGTGAGGTGACTGAAAATGAACACTGGCTGAATTTTTTTGCGAGGAAAATTGGCATAGGAAACATTACATTATTTTGAGATAAGAACAAGAATGCTTGTTAGTGTTTTTGAAAGGTAAACATACAAATCAGGACTCAAGGTGAAATAAAATGCACACCACGAATGTCGTTTTTGTTACTGGTAGGGTGCACTTTTCTATTCTTTCAGTAATGCAAGTCCCCTCTGGAACGATATACAACTGAGCTGTTGGCTCGTAGCTTATATCAGTTGGACCAGTGGAATTGAAAACATGGAATCAAGAAGACACAAGCAAAGAAATCACTGTTATCCGTTTTCACTTAAGTTTTCAATTAATTTGGATAAACTTGACCAGATTGCTCAATTTTCATTCATGATTACACTACGATTAGCCCAGCCACTATGGCATTTCACTACTGAGCATAAGTTAGTAGTTTCAATCTTGGGTGCAGTGGCCAGATTTTAATGGGATTGAAAATGCACAAATGCGCATGTAGTACTTGGGTAGATTTATTTGCTTGTTGAAGTGCCTCCCATGGGCGAAATTGCTTTTTTTTTCCCTGTAGCCAATCTTGGTAAAGCAACTGTGTAGTCAGTCCCCTAGTGTGCTGACCTTATTGTCTATTTTTGGTCTTGTTTTTTTCAAATGTTCATTTATTTGCTCATTGGCGAGAGCAGCAATTTGCATATTGCACATGACCTAAATTTGGTCCAGGGGCTCCTGAACTTCCACTGCCATTGTTTAATTATTTTATTCTGTAATGCCCAATGTAAGGTACGTTAGGTTACACCGAGCTTGATGCTCCGAAATTCTGACTTAACGCAAGACCCAAAGTCTTTGGTATGTTGGAGCAAGATCATGCAGGCATTTCACTTTCCAAATGTTTAACTGCCATAATGTGGTTCACCAAGCAATCTGCCCAGTCTCGCTGCGCTGATGTTCAGTGACGAAAGCATGGTGCATCCTGGTAAATCTGAGAAGGCAAGAGTACATATTAAAGGCAAGGTGCTTGCGCGACCCCATTCCCTGGCATAAAGTTTGTTTGGGGACATTCAAGCTTATCATTCACTAAATTTTAAATTGCAGCTTGAGTTGCAGGCAGAGGAAAAAAATTATTGAATTGACACTAGCAAAACTGGATAAGAAGCATGCATGTCACAAAGTTGCAATCAAACATAGGTAACAAGTTAAAATGTTGTTTTAGGTCAAAGCTGCCGTGTCGGCATTCAGGTAGGAAACGATAAAACGGGGGGAGGGGTTCGATGTAATGCTGAGGGCTGTGGGCTGCCGACCCCTGCTATAAACCGACCATTTTTCAGGAGTACGACTATGCTACATCACTGCAAGAAAGTAACAATTTAAAGAACATTCACATGCACCTATCTGGGCTTTTCCTGTATCTTCACATGTGATGCCAACAAACTACTGCATGTGACAGCACCGAAGTAAGAAAAAACGCCAGGCCTGCGCGGAAGGTGCAGCACAGTCGCAGCGAAAGCTAGAAGAGTGGCCTTTCAGAGCCTTTTCTCATTGGGTAACTGCTGCAAGCACACTTGCTGGGTACCCACTGCAGCATTAATATTCATAATTTCTGGATAGTAGGCCGGCATTTGTTATGCTATCCTTCGTCATTCTTCTGGGAAGCGTGATATCTGCTAAACACTTGCAAGGAATTTTGTGCCAGTTGTTCATGCAGTGGCTGACGATGAGGAATTACGCCTGAAGTGGATATGCAGCACAGTTAATAGGCGATCAAGAACAAGCTTTTGTAATGGGTTGGGGTATTGTACAACGCACTCGTTATGCTATTCGCAATGTGTGACACCTGGTTGTTCCTTTGCTGTTCTAAAATGCTTTATTACTTATATTAACGCGATTCTTTTCCCTGAATCAAGCCTGCTTAAGGCAACTTTGCGAACAAGTCCCAAACATTGGCGTGGCTCAGTTGTAGAATACTGGGCTGGCACGCAGCAGACCCGGGTTCAAGCCCCACTTTGTCCTTGGTGTTTTTCATTTACTGAGTTTTCTTTCTTTCGATACTGGTTACGGATACCAGCGGTGGCAGTCAACTACGGCGCTACGCGTGACCCCGTTTTCTGATCTCATAACAGCTTTCACTGTAATATGCCAATTCGGTAGTTCACAACCTGACATGCTAGGAACTACTTGTCTTCTGAGAATCAAGATGAGTTCTACAATTGTGTTCCACTGAACCTATTTGGAAGCTTTCATTCATATCACTGTGCATAGAGGCTAGTTAGGTGTGGACGATTTCTTCTAGCTGGTGCGTTGACGCAACCAACAGCTTTAACTGCACTCTCGAGAGCTGGTAAGAATGTGCAATAAGGAAAAGTGCTTACAGGGAGTGCAATAAAGGCGAATGAGAAACTGTGGCAGCTGCGTATTTCTAATATGTCTGTGTGTTACTACAGCATCATTTGAAAATTTTATTGTGACTGCACTTTCATAGTAGACTGGAGCAAATTTTCATAGTAGACTGGAGCTAATTTTCAAACTCCAAGGGGTCTAGAGTCCTTTTTACTGGAGTTAAGCAAGTGCGCCTCGTGAGCAGTTGGCTGGTTAAACAAGTCCAATTGGTGTGGGAAAACTGGCTCTGTATGGAGATTAAATCAAAAACAAAACATTAAGCGTGCCCAAACATTTCACTATATTTCCGCTGCCAGACACGTCCTAGAGATGTTGGCTTATCTATAAAAGTACAGTTCTTGAATAAACAAAGGAATAACATTCCCAGGATGTGCTTATTCCTCCTAGGCTGAAAAATAATCTGTAATGTACCTGAAGCAATATTTAGCTAACCATAATCTCGCTGTAATTGAAGGAAACTCTGGGAACCAATATTTTTATTTATTACATACATTGCAAATGGACTTTAGTGTCATAGTTTTGCTAGCAGAAAAGCTCAGCAAGTACGTTTCAATCATGGATGAGGGAAAAATTTCTTCATCCATGAGATGAGAAGACATGTGAGCATCTACTGGAAATGTTGGTGTTGGCAGAAACGGACCTACAACCATACATACACCCTACGCTAGACTGACAAAACGTTCAAAATCGAAAGAAGCCAGTGATTTACCATACTTCGCCGAAAAATTCCCATTCCGGGACATACTTTTTTTTTATTTTGAGCATTTTTTCTTATATACGTTGACAAAATTCCCACATATGTAAGTAGTTGGTGAGCACCTGTGCTCCTGCACAGAGAGCGCCCGGAGTGAACTTGAAATCGCCCCACAAAAGTACCCCGCACATCCACCTCTCTGAAGTCGGGTCTACTGGCACAAGTAGTACTTGAGCAGGAGGTCCATGTACGCTGAAAGCGGGCGGCGACAACCGGCACAAGAATCGCAGCGTGGGCGGCGAGGGTGACAACAGCTCGCGCTCGGCCCATCTGCTTAGGGTGGTTGGTTGGACCCTTAGAGGAATGGCTCAACCCACCACGGGGTATCGTTGCCATGAATCGCGCGGCCGCGCGTGGCAGTGGTATTTCGGAGGGGGAAAGGGGAGATGCCTAAATATTTTTTTTTATATGAACGAAAAGCTTAGTTGTGATAAAAGGCAATTATGAATTGTTTAAAAATGAAAAATTAAAAATCAATAAAAGTACAGTAAAGATTATATGAAATAGACTAATGACAAAAATAAGTACTGAGTATGTACTTGTGAGATTAGCATTGTAGCCGTTTTCATTCTTTTATATAGTTATATATCGCTCTATATATGTCCCTGTATCAATGGCCTAGCACCGAAGTCCCTAGGGAGAGTAGTACCGTTTTGCTCAAGCCCGTGTTTTTGAAAAGCTGGTACTAGAAATTTTCGCCTTAAATTTGATACCTCGGCATTAACGGAAGCATCTGTGGCTTATCTGTAGGCTATTGAGATGGTCTTCGAGCAACCCATTCAAATATTTTATCAGCAAAAGTTTAGCATTTTTAGGAAATATATCATCAAACTATTTTTACCGTAGGATTCCGTACCTGTGAGAAACTCGCATCACGGATTTTTACCCCTAATGGCTCTAAGAGTTTTTTCACATAAACTATTTGAGGTCGACGTAGTTGCGACCACTCACAATAAAAAAATATGGAAGGCTCGCTTATAAACATATTGTGAGCGTCTCTGTGGGGAGGCATAGATGTTCAGAAATGTTTAAACAGTCAATATGCGAAACCTGGTTTGTAGTGAGGGCAGATATGCTTCATGATAAAGAATATTAGTAGCGACAAACTTAGGGAGGCCTAAACATAGGCGCAATGCCTGACGTTCTATAGAAAGAAGAGGACGTAACTTATAAGCGAGTCCCCCACAGAACAACACACATCCAAACTTTAATATTGGGCGGACATACATGCAATATGTCATCAACAAAGCTCTTCGACCACTGCTGATGCGCTTGAGCAACCCAATCGCACATAATGCCTTAGACGCAATATACTCAATTAAGATTTTTTAGTATATATAATACCCAAGCATTTTAATGAGTCGACCTGTGGAATGAAGTCCTGTCCATACATCAATGCTATTCTCACAGGAGAACTCAATGGAAATGCAAGAAGAGCACTTTTCTTAACATTAAGGGCCATGCGCAGGTCACTAAGCCATACTTCAATAGCATCTAAATATGATTGTAAAATGTTGTACAAGGAGTGTGTGTCATTGGAAGCTGAAAAAAAAAAAAATGCTATATCGTCCGCGTATACATATACTTACACTTTATCGTGAGTATGGATAGCGCTTAATATTATATTGAATAAAATGGGGGAAAGAACGTATCCACGAGGACCTCCCCTTGACTGCTTAAATTTCAAGGGCTGTTTTCAATGGTCGCTGAAAGCGGGCGGCGACAACTGGCACAATAATCGCAGCTCGCGCTCGGCCCTTCTGCTTAGGGTGGTGGTCCACTACGGCATACTGTTTTTCTTCCTCCGTACGTGGAGACAAATTTCAAGGGCTATTCTTGCGTGCTACATGCTCCAGAACCGACTGCAGAAGACAAAGTACCACTGTGACCGCTATGTATCGGTTCTCATAAAATGAATTTAATCATTCTTGAAACAGGGTTGTTCTCTCGTCTCCATCATTGTCCCGTGTTGCGCCACTTAAAAACAACGTAGGAAGAAGTTTTTCTGGGAGTCCTCCGAGGAAAAACCAAAAACCATGAGAGCAATGAAATGACACAAAGCCGGACCAGTATTATGGCGTCTAGAACCCTCTTCTAGCCACCATACCAGTGTATGGTAGAAAGCGAAGCCAGCCCACAGAGAAGCGCCTAGTGGTGATGATGATGACGTAAATTGAAGATTATTATGACCGCGCAAAAATTTACTAAGTTTGCTCCTTTTATTATTGACTAAAAAGTATTATTACATTTAAGAATATACGCTGCTGTGCAAAGCAGAGAGCCTAAATATTTGGCTCACAACTCGCTGTGCATTGCCGCTGAGGTTGGCGAGTTCACGTGCTGGGAACGTTGGGACTTCGCTTGTAACTTCTGACCAATCAACAACTGCAGTTGTCCGCTCAAATTTGAACCGTTTGAAACGTTAGAAGCTGGTAGCTAGTTTGCGTCGTTGTTGCATTTCGGCTTGCCTGCGAACGGTACCCTATTCTATGCACCAACTGCAAGCACCCGGGCTGTGCCGCCGGGGAAAGCCGAGTCGCTGTGCTTAGCAAGAACTGTTTGCTAAAGTTTGGGCGTTGCAAACTTTCCTTTCTCCAATGTCTTTTCCAAAGGCACCCCGTTTCACTGCGAACAACGCAGGTATGGCTTGCACTGCTGCGTTTTACTGTTTTTACTCCGTTTGGCGTATCGTTAGTGCAATTTATTTGTTTTATGCAGATGATGTGCCTCCAGTTGGCTCCTACAACTTGCCTTCGGAAAGCCACACACCTGCGCCCAAGTTTTCTAGTGCGAGCAGGTTTCGCGACAGCAATGGTAACATCTTTTTCCCCTCAGGAGTGTGTGTGTTTGGGGTGGGCAGGTTTTATACATATGCGGGAAAATTTGCTTTTACTATCGAATTCTACCTAGAACTACAAAGATAGGAACAACATTTCAGGATAACATTTTGTTGGACGAGTTGGTACATAACTGTGGCGGTAATCGTTGCGCATTCGATCGCATGCGCAACGATTCCCATCACAGATATGAATAACACTTGGAGATATGTTCTAGCGTACGTCTACCCCCGTCATTTTAGTGCTACATTGATGCAGTTTAGTTTGGACCCGGGCTGCTTTAAAAACACAAGGACAAAGAAAATATTAGTGTGGATTGCAAGAAAGCCGTTTGCCTTTCAACATACTCGTGTTTCAGAAGTTTTCAGATGAGAGGTGGAGATCTGCAAAGAAAAAAAAACTAGCAATGCGGTGGGAAGAGGCGTAGTCATGCTTTGTTTTCGTGGGTGGTCCGATCACCTACTTGTATTCGTTTGTGTTTGATAGATAGATTACAGGGTTTAACGTTCCAAAAGCCACCATATAATTATGAGAGACGCCGTAGTGGAGGGCTCCGGAAATTTTGATTACCTGGGGTTCTTTAACGTGCACCCAAATTGAGCCCATGGTCTTACAACATTTTCGCCTCCATCGAAAATGCAGCCGCCGCAGCCGGGATTCGGTCCGCCACCTGCGGGTCAGCAGCCGAGTACATTAGCCAATAGGCCACCACAACGGGGCATTGTTTGTGTTTATACGTGTGGATATATATAACACTGGCATGCAAGCTAAACACTTTGATTGTTGAGAAGAGGGTGGGGGGAGGTGCAGGGAACCTTCCCTCCAGCAAAAAAAAACAAAACAAAGAATCTAATTAGAGTCGCACTAGTGTAGGATAAGAGTGTAGTGCATGGAAACATAGACACAACAGAACTCAAAGCACACACTTGGCACTATATGTGTCTTCCAAGTGTGTCTGTTTTGTTCTTTCATGTCGTTGTCAGCTGTAATGCCCCAGATTCCTAATCTGTGCTTGGTTGACATGCCCACAAGTGCAACATTCATCAATTTCAGTATGTCTGTTTCATCTTTTCGATATATGAAATGAAAGAGGTCCAGAAACACAGCATTGCCACTTGCTGGGCAAGTTGGTGAATCATGATAGTAGGAACAGTATGAACGTGAAGCGCAGGACGAAGAAGGAACACAAACGACAGCACGAGCACTAACTCTGAACTGTTTATTTTCTGCATTTGCCACATATAAATACACATAATCCATCATTTGGAGGAGCATTGAAAGAGGAAGGACAGGGAGATCCATCAGCTGGAAACAGGAAAGGAGAATAGGTGAGATACTCAATGAGAATCTCGTCCTTGTGCTTTTTTGCCAGTGATCTAAAAGTGCAAGCTCCCTGCTTGATAATGCCAGGGATGTTACACGTGCACGCTTGTTCCTCACACGTGCCGTGTTCAAGCCTCAATCATTTGCCCAAGCTTCTTATTATTGCAGCGACTGATAAGTTCACTCCTTTCACACAAAGGCTTGCATGGCCCGGTTCAACCTTGCGGCACAGATACAGTTCCACACTGTGAACAATGCATTCTTGGGTGTCCTTGTTTACTTTCGTGAACATTGTAGTCATGTTCATGCATCTGCCTGTTTGTCCAATATACTCATGGCCACAAGATAACGAAATGCGATTAATTGCACCTTCTTTACTAGTGACTAACTTTGACATGAATCTTGCATTGTTTTTTTTTTCTTGCTTTTGATGCAGATTTATCTTTTTACAAAGAGTGGACTGTTTCACGGGCACTGAAAGCACCATCCTAACCCCAGCTCACTTCCCAGTTATCTTGAGTTTATGTGAAGTTTGGTGATATTAAGGGATTACAGTTATTATTTCACAATCCTGCTGTTTCCTCCCCTTCTCCTTGTGCTTGTCTTATTGCCGTTCTATTTACAGGGTTCGTACAGGTCCTTGAAATCCTTGAAAACCCTTGAATTCGAAGAATGCATTTTCAAGAACCTTGAAAGTCCTGGAATTTTTCGCCATCCTTAAAAATCCTTGAGTTTCATGAGCAGTGCACTCTCATATCAACATGACGACATTCTAAATGTGGTAGATCGATGCGTCAACCCGTCAAACTCCCAATTTCCAAAGCAGTAATGTGGCGTGGCCGCACATAGTCCCATTTTGCAAAATGCATGAGGAAAAAAAGTTACTTTTGTGGCGAGGGTGAAGCAGGCGATGTGATAGCAAGAAATTAGAATGTCACACAAAGAAGGGCAAGCAAGTCTGTACATGCAACACGCCGCTCAAGCACGAAGGATGCACGAAAAGAATGCGAACAACTGCCACAGCTCGACACTGGAAGTGTGCTGCTTAAAGGAGAACTCTGGCGCATTTTCGACCATACTGAGATAATGCGGTTTTCAAATAGTATTGACAGTCCTGCAAAAGCTTGCGTGGTTCATTTTGCCCAGGCACTTGCCAATAATTTTAATTGAGCAATAAACAATGAGTCAAAAGAGAAGCCAAACAGGGAGCTGCTTCGTCACCATGGTGGGTATCGAATGACGTAACGAGATCCGCTACACCCTGTCCCCGCTACGGCTGGCCAGGGTGTAAACATAGCTCACATGCCTCTTCTGACGCGCGATAAGCAAGTTGGCGATGTGATCCGGTGCAGAATTAAGCTGTGCCAGCTCGTCTTAACTTACCAGTGTCAAGTTCAGCGATGATTGCAACTACTCACTGAACATGGAAGCATTGCTTTTTGATTTTGCCCCGATGGCACCTGAAGCATCTGATGTGCCCCGAATCAATTTCATCGTTGCTCAATATTGTAAGACCCGACGTCAACGCCTACTAACACGCTGCTGTGTGCAGCTCACAAAACTGAACTGTGCTCGCGTTTTCCTCGCCTCGTAAAAGAAAACGCATGCTGCATCTATCTGCTGGGAAAGGCAGGTTTTTCGAAAAAAAGTAGACCCTTACATTACGTACAACGGGTGGCCCGTATGTACAAGCGATTCCACAATCGGCTACCAATTTTAAAATGTTTTTTTCTGAAAAACTAAATGAGTTACGCTTGTATAATTTTGCACATATTACCACTGTACCGACGAGGACACACATGCAAAGTTTTTTTAAAAATCAGTGATTACCGAAAAAATGGCGGAGTTCTCCTTTGAACACAAGGAAGGATGCTAGAAAAGCACACACATGTATCCACAGGATGAGTGTAAGTTAACCACTGCAACAGTTGTTACTCCTTGGTGTTCCAGCAGCGTGCTGCAAGTGTCAACTGCACAAGCCACCACTCGTAATGGGGTGGCGTCATCTAATTGCGAGGCTATAGCAACCGTCATGTTGGTTTCTTCTGTATGCAAGGACACTCCACACGAATGGTCGGACTTAGAAAACATTTAGAATATATTTCAAGTCACTTCCCAAGTGTACGTAAATGCTCATTCTCCTAATTAAGGCCCATTGCGAACATGTCCAACACTGACGTAGACCTATAGGAAGGTCAACCAAAGTGGTAGTGATGTCACACCAGATTTGTGGCGAGGTGAGTGACCTCCGGACTTCTGCCACGTGCATACCGGCAAAGCATTGTGGAGGCTGCAGCTAGCGGAGCATTTCTTTTAGAGGTGCTTGTGTAACACTTGTGTGTGTGAGGATACGATACTCAGCATGGCGTGTGCACTGATCACGTGACTAAGTCAGCTACACTGCTATGTACCTGACCAACTCAGTGCCCACTAACAGGAACTGAAAATTGTCCATATAAAAAAGACGATAAATATAGGAAGAATAAATTAATCTTGATGCATGTATCATGCTAGTGGAGCTATTGTAATTAAAGCTTGCAGGAAAGAGCGCACAAGCCACAAATATTGTGGCACCACCCCTTTAAGGCCCGACTATACATATGCGTTGAAGCCCAACAGTGCGCAACTTTCTTGCGTCTGGAGAGTGAAGGAGAGGGTGCAAGAAGTTATTAAGACTGTATTTTATTTTGTTACAATTGCGATATCTCTATATTTATTATAAGTGCAGTAAGATCTGTAATTTTTTTTTAGATTGAAAAATTCTAACTTAGCATGCTGCTTTGAGCCCTTGAAAAGCTTGCAACAGGTCCTGGAAAGTCCTTGAATATCCTTGAATTTTTGCTTTGGAAACCTGTACGAACCCTGTATTTAAGTTATGCATTCTTTCATTATGTGCTCTCATGAACTTTTCAGTGCATTAGATAAGTTGTACTTTATATGCCTCTTTAACTAGCTTTGCATGTGCTAACAGTGCTGGCAGTAGGGCTTTTGTCGCATGAGGTTCATAACCCCAACAAACTTGATTGTTGTAAAACTTCAGTTGCAGATATAGAAACTTAAATTAGTTGCATATATGTGAACTTAATTTCTTGTCAGGAAATTTGCATAGATGTTAATGGGGTTCAATGATGCTTAAACTTGTCAAGAACATCACCAGTGTTTGCATAAAAAGCTACTTTATCGTTGTTGGGGATTATAGTGATATCATCTACAAATCTAAAGATTTTTTCACTTCTTTAGTGTGTCTTAAGGACCCCTGACACCAAATTTAGAAACTCTGGATGCTTGAGCATTTTGACAGTCCTGCATGCGGGGCCACCTCTGACCGATTATTAGTGGCGAGCACAGCCTAGAAGATATTTTAATTTGGTTTTAAAGTAGGGGTGCGTACTCTTCAGAGTATTCAGGTTCAATTGACATTTTCTGTGGTTTCGCGTAGACCCCTTGTGACGTTGCAGGGTCAACAATTGCGGGGCGCGCACAATACCCAGACTGGCACCCGGCGAGGACTAGTGTTCGTCAGCCCTGTCGCGCTGTTGTCAGGCTGCTCTTAAGGAGGTTTGGCTGCTTATGCCAAGAATGGTTTTCTTTTTTCTGAGGGGGACACGCTCAAAGCATCCACTTCGTTTCATTCTTCACCGCACACGGGTCTCG